CAGTTAGTAAAATTAGCTCCGGGTTTTTATGTTCATGTATATAATAGTGAATATTTTCTAACTTATTTTTAGTTTTAATTGACCTTATATTTAAATATATGATAGATATTGTATTATTTACTCCAAGATTAACAGCCAATTTTAGTTATTTTCCTTTTTTATTAATTAAGTCTTCTAAGATATCTTCTGATGAAATATGTACTATTTTACTATTTTCAGTTTTTCTTAGAAAAATTTTACCATTTGAGTACCAAGCAAATTTATATTTTAGCTGTACTTTAGCTTCCCTTGCCTTTTTCAGTAATTTTTGATTATCAACAGTTAGATCATGGTTTAAAAAGATTATATGGTCTTGTTCAAATCCAAGTTCATTTGCTTTTAGGGTCTGATCTTTTTTTGCTTTCATAATTTTTTCTTTAGTTTCATAGTTACTAAACGTTACTTTAAGTTGCTTTTTTTCCTTTCCAACAATAGCACATGTAATTTATTCTTCTTGCACATTTACCTTCATCTTCTTTCCAATTTTTACTACAGTTTCCTTTAGTTCATTTTCACTATTTTCTGCCAGGGATAAACCAGATATCATTAGATTATTTTTTAATTTATCTTGCTCATTTGTATTTTTGTTATTTTTTAGATGATATACTTCTTTTTTTAATAATTGATGTTCTTCCTTTAGTTTTTTTATATCTTTTTTTAATTCCTTGCTTTCTTTTTCTTGAGCATCAATTTTTTTATGTAGTTTATCATTTTGGTCGATAACATAATTGATTTTTTCAAATAAATCTTCCAGTGATATCTTATTTTTAGTTTGATTTTTTACCTTTGCTTTAGGCGAGATCTTTGATTTGGTTGGTGATTTCTTCTTTGTCTGACTACCATCATCCTCAGATTCATCTGATTCTTCATTATCACTATCTTCGTTTTCAGTATCTCTACCCTCTTCATCACATTCTTCACATTTCCATATTATCTTCTTTTTTTGTATATCTTTAATTTCATTTTTACTTAGGGTGGTGCATTTTTGATGGACCCATTCTTCGCAATTATTGCACTGAACTTGTACTTGATTATGAACAAGCTTCTTGGTACAGTAAGCACAATTCATTTTTAAAGAACAATTTTTTAAGTACTGCTCTGCACAAATTGTTTATTTTCGAAAAATATAATGTCTTTTAGCGAATTTTTGAACTACTCTATTCACACAATGTTTATACACCATTAACTTATGTTTCACAATATTTTTTCTTATCTTATACCACTTTATTTACTAAATATTTGTTCAGCAAAATTTCGCACGACTCTCACTCTCACGCGTAAATTTGCCGATTCGGATTGGGCTGGAGATTTAATTGATAGAAAATCAGTATCAGGCTATTTAATAAAAGTATTTAATAATACAGTGGCATGGACTACAAGAAAACAAAATTGTGTCGCTTTATCAAGTACTGAGGCTGAGTTAGTGGCTCTATGTGCAGCTGTTCAAGATTGTTTATGGTTTAAAAGATTGCTGAATGATATGAATATAAATGTTAAATGTTTTAAAGTTTTTGAGGATAATCAGGGGTGTATTTCTTTAGTTAAAAATCCTGAAAATAATAAGCGTGTGAAACATATTGATTTAAAGTATAATTATATTAGTGAAATTTTGAAGGCCAACACAATGATTTTAGAATATTTAAATACAAAGCTTCAGTCAGCAGATTTATTGACCAAGGGTCTTAGCAGAATTCAATTTTACTCTAACTGTAAAAGAATTGGATTAGAAATAAGAAAGGGTTAATTAATCATGATAATTAACTATGTTATATTTTAGTTTGTATTTTATATTATTATAGGAAGTCATTAAGAGAGGGTGTTGAAATATATATTAATAATGACTTCATATAAAAATAATATTGTAAGAGAGTTGGCGAATTCATTATTAGTTGTTATAGTGATAGTAATAAATATAATAAGTTTTGTATGACATTAGTGTAATATGAAAGGTTGTAATACTGAGAATAAATAATACATAAAGAACCTGAGCGTATATTTAAATTACTAAGAAAATTAACATATAATACATATATTTTTAAAATAACGTTGAGAAAGGCAATGAAATAAATAGATTTCTTTTTATATATATATTTTAAAGAGAGTACACTTTAAAAGTGTTTAAAAACATTGTAAAACTGTTGGTAAATGAATATAAAACTACATTTTTTTCTATTTGAATCAAATTTACCCGATTATTTAAATTAATATCATTTCATATGCTTTTCATGACATGGTATTTCTCTGAGTGCAAACTAAGGAAGTTTCTGCCAATCTGCAAATACCACCTGAAAGCCTACGTGAAACACTCTCAGATGGCTCCACAATGTCAATTTCATTGAAAATGTGACTTGGGCACTTCTTGCATTGACCCCTTCATATATAAATTAATAAATTAATTAATTAATCAATTTATCAATTTATCAATTGAATGCCCGGAAAGCAGAACCGACGCAGCGCGTGGCCAGTTACTGACATGCAGTGCATCGCGTTCATCCCCTCTATTGCCTACTGGCCGCCAGTAGGCAATAGAGGGGATGAACGCGATGCACTGCATGGAGACCGTTGAATTTCAACATAATTCTTTAAATTAAACTCGCGATAACTCTTTAACTAAACGCGCGATTTTTATGAAATTTTGACAGAATACTCCGAATGGTACAGCGATGCTATTAAAATTTCAACCACAATTAATTAATAAATGCATCAATATTATTTAAGTCATAACTATGCTTAAACTAGTAGATGTTTATAAATTATATACATATAGTTTTTTTCTTGGTAAAATAAAGAAGTTTTTTTTCCAAATTTGACATTTATTAATTAATTATTATAGCCGTAATACAAATAAATAAAAGAGCCCGCAGCGGCGTAAAGACAAAAAAGTGCACGAGAATCGAAACTAAAATCGATTTATCACTTAAAAAGCTTAATAAATTGGGTATGTGTATTAATAATAAGAATCCGTCAATTTTGACAAAAATTAAAAAAATTATAAAATTATAGGAAATAGAAACGTAACATTCTCATTTTTGGCTAAGTAAAGTTAAGAGAATTTTTGACGCAAAATTTATTCAACATTTTATTTAACAGTTTTTAACATTTTATTGTATTCTTTTTTTTGTAGACTCCTTTTTTGTTCCACTTTTTTTTGTTACAGCCGATTTAATTAATACACTTTCCATTCAATTTCTTGAAATATTCTGTACCGTTTTCGCTTACAAAAGGCATTAAATTTTTTAAATCTTTAACTTTGTCTTTTGTTATTCCCAAACATTCAGGCAGTGTTGCGTTCATTAATTCGTCAAAAGTAAACAATTAAAAAAAAAAAATATATATTATTTAAAATTCTAGACATATATGCATTTAATGCATTAAATGCATATATGTCTAGAATTTTAAATAATATATATTATTTTTTTTTAATTGTTTACTTTTGACGAATTAATGAACGCAACACTGCCTGAATGTTTGGGAATAACAAAAGACGCATGTTTGGGAATAACAAAAGACGCATGCGCCGCTTGTCTGTAATGCGCCGTATCCACAAAAATTACATTTTTAGAAAATCAGCATTTTCTGTTTTACTCTATGCCATCGAAATTTTTAAAAAATAATTAATTAATGATAATAATTTGAGTTTTAATCAGTTCAAAAACTAATTTTAAAGACATAATCGGGCCAATTCACTAACACGAGTCGTTAACGTTAGCCACTAGAATTAGTGGTTATCCTTATATTTAATCGACCTGATTGGCCGGATTGGCCGATAACCACTGATCTAGTGGCTAAAGTTAACGACTTATGTTAAAGAACTGGCCTGATTATGGATATTTTGGGTTCCAGGAATAGATGCAAAATGCATCGTTCTATAAGGAAATTCCATAAACCGAATTCGTAAAATTGTTGGTTAAGACATTTTCATTAACCAAAGTAGATAAGGCCATAAGAAAATTAATTGTGATCAAAATGTGACAGACTTAAAAAGCCAACAAATCGGTCGAAAAAGATCGAAGAATAATAATTTGTGGAAAGCAAAAAGTTAAAAGATAATCTAGGTAATCATTTTATTTCAAAATAAAATTCCTGTTTTATATTGTACAAATATAATATTAGTAATAACTACTGATAATAAATGATTTGTTGCAATTAAGCTTTTTACGTGATAAATCGAGTTTAGTTTCGATTCTCGTCCACTTTTTTGTCTTTACGCCGCCGAGTGCTCTTTTATTTATTTTTATTACGGCTATAATAATTAATTTATAAATGTCAAATTTGGAGAAAAACTTCTTTATTTTACCAAGAAAAAAACCATATGTATATAGTTTATAAACATCCACTAGTTTAAGCATAGTTATGACTTAAATAATATTGATGCATTTATTAATTAATTGTGGTGAAATTTTTTATTTTTTATTTTAATAGCATCGCTGTACCAATATGAGTATTCTGTCTAAATTTCATAAAAGTCGCACGTTTGGTTAAAGAGTCATCGTTAGTTTAATTTTAAAAAATTTGTTAAAATTCAACGGTCTCCATGCAGTGCATCGCGTTCATCCCCTCTCTTGCCTACTGGCCACGCGCTGCGTCGGTTCTGCTTTTCGGGCATTCAATTAATCAATTCATTAATTAATCAATTAATTTAAATATTTATTAGGAAATATGGGACATTTTAAATTTCGACGATTACTCCAGAAATTTTAAAAATAATTTTTGAGGATAACACCGAAAAATATTGGCAAAAGATTATTTAAAAAATAGTTAATATTATCGTAAAACTGCACCGGCACACAAAAAAAATATATGTCGAGTGCGAAGACGGCCACAAACAGCTAATATCGTCTATTTGGCGAATGTCCGAATATATATTGACTTTTGACGAAAAAACGGACTTTAACCATCTAACGTCGACATAAAATATTGTGACGTAAGCAATAGTTTTATAATGATTTAAATAATTGAAAATGCCTAGTGATTTTAAACTTAGTTTTTATGATAGCTTTAAACTTATTTGTGCAAAGGGGGATGACAATAGTGGTAATATTTCAAACAAAATATATTGTTTAATTTTTAATTAATTAATAAACTAATGACAATCCTTACTTTGTTGGTTCTTTCACTTAAGTGAAAATTACCAAACAAACAAAATCACAAAAAATAAAACTGGTTTTTAGTGACGTACTCTCTAAAAATGAATTAGTCAAAAATGACTAGTTTTCAAAGTAAAAAAGCAGTCACTAATAACTAGTCCACAGCAATTTGTATCCCATTTATATCTCAAAAACTGTTCACTCAAAGGTTCTACTTTTATAACTTTTGACTACATTTTCAGATTCAGTGGACAATTTTACATAGGAGTTGACTGCTAATTGGCCGGGATACAAGTTTCTGTTGACGATAATTATTAGTGGCTGCTTTTTTGCTATGACAATTAATTACTTTTGACTACTTCATTTTTAGAGAGTAAGCTCGTTAAAAGTCAAGCACTGTGTAGACTACTGTTAAGTTTTCCTACCGTCAACTGCAACTATTAATAACTATATTTTGACAATTTAACTCCTTTTACTTTGATACTCATATCAAAAAAAAGTTAAGCCGCCAATAACAAACCGGCAAAAGGCCAGTCAAATTCTAACTCTCGGCATAGCAATACGTTTCGGATAGCGACCTCTTAAAAACATAAAAGCCTAAAACCCACACATAATTACTTTGTGAAAATAAAATATAGTAAGTAGAGACTACTCTACGTTCAAGAAAGTGTGAAGTGATAAGTGTCAGCTACAGGGCGGTCTTACCACCTGTCAATTGGACGCTTTTCACAAGACAAAACACCAAAATGTCTATCCCTCCCGTCCTACCTCCTTCATGACCCTACTGGTCGTATAGCATCGGCCCGGCGAACCCGGGAATGGCTATTAAAACTTGGTCTCGAGTTCTAAATAGGGGACAGTACGGGTCGCAATGGACATTCGCACCCAGCAAACACGGGTGAAGCCGTGCCGTTGCTGGTGGCGAAAGAAAATCGGCGTAAGGAAACAGAGGCCTATGCGAGGCCCGGGACCGATGAGGCAATAGGGCCTATTATACGTCTCTTATACTCATACTCAATAATAAAGCATTTAATGCGGCCGACGCAAAGAAAGGCGGTTACCTTTATCATATGTATGTTTTAAGTATTTGTCAGAGATATAGAGGGGGGAGAAAGAGCTTTAACGTGCGCGAATGGGGACACACTCATAGCCGCCATTTTGAATCACGTATACGAGGCGCGGTAAAAAATGTTGGTGTTTCTGCATGTTTTAACAGCCCAAGACATTTTATATTACATAAATTCTCACAATATAAAAACACAATCAAATTACAAATATACAAAAATTCAACTAAACCAAAGATATCGGTGTAGAAAACAGATAGAACTTATTATTCGCAGATAATCAGGTGGTTGTTTTTAAACCTTTAAACCTCTAAAAACAATGTGGTTATGTACTTATAAACAGTGTTGTCATGAAAGTTCACGACCAAAAATAAAAAAATACCCGATTATACTCACAAGAGTAAAAAAATAGTTATATTTATAAATTTTTAGCGCATTGGTCCTATTTTGACAAATTAATTTAATTTTGTATTAATCAAGAAGAATGGTAACAGAAAAGAATAATAATAATTATGTGATTCAGTAAATATACAATATCATCTACTAAAAAAGTTAGTATTTTGATTGAAATTATCAAAATACCCGCTATAATATTTTATCCTTCAAGCATGGCGAAAATACCCGATTTTCGGGTAAAATATCCGCGAACGGCAACACTGCTTATAAAACTAATAACAAGCGACAGTGGCGTCATCTGTTTATTTTTTATTAAGCTTGCCAATCAGAGATAGAGAAGTCTATATTATCGACATCTAGTTCAAAATGTCAGCCATGAGCCTGTCGCCATAAAAATGGATGCGAATGGTCCAAGCTCCTTCTTCCCCTTGGGGGACCCCTTCTATCTTTCTGGTATTTGTTTATCTGCAAGAAAGTTTATCGAGTACTGACTCTTTGATTTTGCGCCCCCAAAATGTTGCGCCTGCGTGCGTGCACGCGCAATGGTCCAAGCTCCTTTTCCCCCCTCTATGTCTCTGGTATTTGTTTATCTGCAAGAAAGTTTATCGAGTACTGACTCTTTGATTTTGCGCCCCCAAAATGTTGCTCCTGCATGCGTGCACGCTCGCCAGGAACGGCGAACGTATACGTGTAATTGTCAATGACACGTATACGTATTGGCCATGGACAAAGGATAATAATGTTAAAATATTTTGCATACCCTGCCAGCAAAAAAATAGTTAAAAGAGAAAAGGAGGGGACACCCATGGTGTTTTCTGAAATGAACAGCAAATTTCGAAGTTAATTTAGACCTTTTCGTTTTATCTTTGTTTATCAAGATCACTTTACAAAATTTGTTTTTGTTAGAAATTTAATTAAAATAGTTTAGTATTTTTGGAGCTCCATTAATTTTGTAGTCTGTCAATTGCCGCCAATTTGCCAATGCTCTAGTAAATAAACGAATATATGGCCGGATTTAAAAATCTAAGGTAGTGTTCCCACTGGGAAAGAAACCTTATAAAAAATATTGCTGCAATGTTCGCCGACTTTACAAATAAAATATTTCCTGTGCTACTTGCATTAACATAAATGAAATGTTTTATTGAAATATTGCATATAATAATTTCCAACAACCTTAAATTTGAAACATTATTTAAAGATTCACATGGAAAGTGTTATATTTGTAACATTAAGTATAAAATGTTGCATAAAAGTTTTTAAACATTACAATTATAATATTGCAGACATAACTTTTTTTCAATGTTTCAATTGAAATATTAACACAAGTTTCAAATGAAAAATGTTTGCAACTTTACTTTAAATATATACTAGATTCTATTGAATAGAAACATTTATTTTGGAATGTTTGGGAATATTTTTTTTTTATTTAATTATTTATATTATTTACATAACTTTTTATAGACAACAATTTTTGAAACATTGCAATTATAATATTACATTGATAAGTTTTGGGCAATGTTTCATCCGAAATATTACATTAAGATGATTTTTGCAATGTTACTTTATATAAACAATATAAACATTTAATTTGCAAGATTTTTGGAACATTGCAATTATAATATTTTATTGATAAGTTTTTGGCAATGTTTCATCAGAAATAATACATTAATATAATTTTTGCAATGTTACTTTATATAAACAATATAAACATTTAATTTGCAAGATTTTTGAAACATTGCAATCAGAGCTGTCAAAGATACTTTTAAAAAGTATCTAGATACAAGATAAGTTACTTTTTGAAAAAGTACCTATCCGAAGTTACTTTGGGTATCTAGTTACTCTTTAAAAAAAGGAACTTAAATACTTATCTTAAGTTACTTTTTAAGATACTTAATAAGATACTTTTTTAGTTACTTTGTATATTATGTAATAAGTTTCGTATAAACCGCCCAACAAAAATTCGTTCCAACCCCACCCTGATTTTTCAAATAATTTTAAGCTTACTTTTTTAACAATTTTTTTCAATAAAATCTAGTTGATTAAAACCATTGAAGGGTCTAATGCAAAAAGTGTCTAACTTAGGCACTTTTAAAATATCTTAAAAATAAAAAGAGATAAAATCGTTAATTAAACACCACTTTTCATTTAATCTTTTTAAAAATTTTTTTAAAATTTAAAATGGAAAACATACATTGAACATTATAGAATGTACGGTACCTACAATGTAACAACCAATATCCTACATCAGTACATCATAAAGAAGCAAGTGCAAGTACTTACCTAACCTAACTTATTTCAGACTTACCACTATAAATTCAAGTCGCAACGAACGGAAACACCCTTCTACAGAGCGGGTGGCGAAGTCACAGATTATAAAAGAAGTATAGGTGAATAAAAATTAAGTAGGTATAACAAAAATCGCCGCCAGTCGATTGGCGCCAGTCGCTGAAGTCGCCAGTATACTTATTATAATAACTGATGGCCGCGGCCGTTTCGAACAACTTGACCTAAAGGAACTTTTCTTTTGGTATCTTAGATACTTTTTGGTATCTAAGTTACTTTTTGGTATCTAAGATACTTTTTACAAGATACAGTTCCTTTTAAAAAGTATCTAAGATACTAGATACTTTTTGTTAAAAAAATAAAGGAACTAAGATACAGTAACTTAGATACTTTAAAGTAACTAAGTTACTCTAAAGTAACTAAGATACTTTTTTCTGACAGCTCTGATTGCAATTATAATATTACATTGTTAAGTTTTGGGCAATGTTTCATCCTAAATATTACATTAAGATGATTTTTGAAAAGTTGCTTTATATAAACAATATAAACATTTAATTTGAAAGATTTTTGGAACATTGTAACTATAATATTCCATTTATAATTATAACTTTAGTTTTGGACTATGATTCATTCGAAATATTGCATTAAGATAATTTTTGCAATGTTGTTTGCAGACTGACTGGCCGATGGATCCCCCCGCTGTCTTGGTCATTTATATATTTATAAGTGAACAGTGTGAAGCTTGATGCGTGTCTCCCGTCACCGACTGCCTGACACTGATGAGACCAAACAGGTCGAAACAGTCTGTCTGTCAGTGCATTAGTCATTGGACCATACCATTCGGGAGACGCGCTTTGAACATTGTAATTAAATTAATATGAATTATTATAATAATAATTAATTATAATTATTTATCCGTAAGCTATAGGCCTATTATATATATATATATATATATATATATATATATATATATATATATATATATATATATATATATATATATATATATATATATATATATATATATATATAATAGGCCTATAGCTTACGGATAAATAATTATAATTAATTATTATTATAATAATTCATATTAATTTAATTACAATGTTCCTGTAATGTTGCAGGAACCTTTCATTAACAAAAATAACATTTAGTAATATTGCAATGAATATATTTAAGCAACACTTCATTTGTAAATGTAATG